CACTCGGCCGGCTAGCCGACCTGCCCAGCGCCCAACACCGGCCCCCAACACCAGCCCCCAACACCAGCCCCCCCGGAATATTTAATTATTTCGAGCAGCAGGCCAACACCAGTAGTGTAGGTTTTCATATTCGAAGATGTACGTTTTAGATGTTAGAGTTTGAAACAGGGGGGGTTTACGAGAGCTTGACCGTAAAGAGCATGTATGTACGTATAGCCTACGCTGTGCAGCAGTAGCTCTAATCGAGAGACTTGCTGTACGTGTAGACCGCGGTGACACTTCAGATGGAGAGCCACGGATTATTCCCAATTCCGCACACACGCCGCAGACCATCACTACTATCGCTTTTCAATGTTCCGCTGTTCGCTGCTCCGTCGCCAGAACAAAAATACTTGACACACCGCTTTAAATAGGCCGCCTCGAGTGCTGTACCTAGTATGTGACGGCAACAACCAGTGCATCTGCATACGGTAGGACACCGATCTTCTCATAATATACGCACACTATTTCTACCACCGTTTGGTAGCCAGCAGGTGGAATTTTGATCCCCGGATCGCGGTACGCCAGGAACAGCGGTACGCAGATGTGTTTTTTTCATCTCTTCTTGTTGCCCGCGGGGTATTTATGTACTTGTCAATTGCCCGTGATTTCCACCCTCGGGGTAATGATACTTGATCCCTCTCACCTGCTGCCTCTCGCTACACCCTCCTTGCCCCTTACAACGCAAAACCAACCCAGTCGTCAAAGGATCAGGACTGGATCAAGAGCTCTTCTTCCTCTAGGTAGTCTACAGTAAGGTAATGAATGATTGGTGTTTAGTAGAGTGTAGACGGTACAGACAGACCGGTGTGTGCGTGTCAACGCACGGCAAGTCCGCATGTATATCAAGGCCTCTTGCTGACTTCAAGGGTAAGAATCTGAATTAGCTAGACTACTTCTCTAGAGTTTGTCTTCGTTCTTGCCTCCCCCGCGCTTCAAACAAGATCCCTCCCGCCATAACGACACGGCCTTACACCATTGTACAGCATAGCTGGCCAGTACGTGTGCATTAGTCAGTGCTGGTGAGATTGCATGTGAAGTCTGGTGTACAGCAGTAGTGCATCTCTCAAAAGGTGATGGAGCGGACTGTCGAACCTAGGTACAGGACAGTAATTGCAGAGTGCCGATCCTACCTGCACAAAAATGATGTTCGATCGCTGCCGGCAGCTCTGCGGTCGCGAATCGACATGTTAACGAGGCTGGGATGATGCCAGAAGAACGCCATGCACCTGCTCACTTTTACCAGACAGTGTTGCATGGCTCAATATTTTGAAAGATCCCAATGCTGCAGCAAGCACTTGAAGTTCAGCAAGTCGCCCTCAACCCCTACTCACGGTGCGTTGTACAATCTTGAAAAGATGCCACACCCCTAAGATCGATCTTCCAAAGCTTGATTACTCCACGACCAAAAGGATGCCGAAATCAAATGATGCGTGTTCGGCAAGCTCTCGAAGAGACGGTTCCAATGCCGCCAGATTCGGCACCGCCGCTTCTTTCTGCTGTGGAGTAATCGAGCTTTGAAAATCGGTCCAGGGGGTGCGAGATCTTTTGCAACCTGCGAGATGTCGTCAACAAGAAATAACATGTATGGATAATTGTATGCTGTGCCGGCCGGTCGGCTCGGGGTATTCGTTTGGTAAGCCAACAAATGTCTTCGACGTTGCTATATCCCGATATCCCGAAGCTGCTTCTTGTGCTTAGGTTTGAGAACGGAAATGGGGTGGGAACTCCTCTCTCTGCATCCAATCTCGAGGCCACGACGCGGAAGTACTCGTTTATAAAGCAGCGGCAAGTATGACTGCGAGGAGCAAAAAATGGGATAAGGCTACTTATCGCGAAACATCGAGCAGACCTCTGAACACTATCGGAAGGCTGCCGCAGTAAAATGAAGGCCATGCGTACGCATGATGTTTTTTTTGCTTTTTGGTTGGCAACAAACGAAACCGCCTGTCCATCTTATGTTCGGATATCCCCTAGGACAGGGTATACAACCTCCCCAACGCCTGCCGAGGACGATTCTCCCTCTTTTCGTCATTGGCGTCGACGAACGGATGTCTGAACCCAAGCTCAACTCCGCCACCCGCGGAATGGTGGGGTTCAAAAAACAGAATGTTGGGGTTCCGCGTGCACCTTCGACTATGCCTTTTTGGGTTCATGTGCCACATAAGACAGCCTGAACGAGTATTCTAAGGTGTGCGGATCTCCCCAAAGTCTGTCGAGGACGACCCCTCTGTTCACACAAGCCAACCCTCAGAATTCGTGACCGATTATGGGTACAGTTAGCCTGCGACGATGGAATGCGTCGGCGTCAGTGGGACCAGCACGGATGATCAAATGTGTATAGATCGGGACGTTTTTGTGCCAAGACAACAAACACCAGAAATCTCAGTTCGTGCGACTTCGCTCGAGATGCGAACTCAGGTCGCGAACCTCAGAAGGTTGTAAATATTTATGAAAATGTTTGTCGGACTCACTCATCGCTGCTGTCGCTGCTTTCCTGAAGCAGGCCACGCTTCCTGTGGAGAAAACGCGGCGTAGTAGCCATGACACATGTTTCCGGCCGCCTGCTGGGCGTCCTCGGTGCTGCGGTCTTCCTGTCAAGCGTCGCTGCCTACTCCTACTCTAGCGACGGCTGCTGGGAGTATGCCATCGGAGACGGTTACTGCGAGCAGCAAAACAACAACGCAGAATGCGGTATGTGTACCCCCTGGTGGTGTGACGTGCTCCGTTGCTTCGATGTTGAGAGTCTCCTTTCGCCCATTTCTCCGAGTTGTAGCCAAACAACCACGGCAAACAATCCTGTGCGACGAGCAATCACCCTCAGGTTTGGTTGATGCGTGCTGAAGGCGCTACGACCCGAGCATGCCGTGTTGACATCAGACTGCAACGTAAGAGTGCGACCCGGACCGGGGTGTCCCAAGCCCTTGGAACATTGGGAGCTGACAACATACCTCGGAAAGTAGACTGCAACTGGGTGTGACACGAATTTTCAAGACCGTTGTTCTCTGCGTAGTCTAGGCAATCAATATCGTTGGTACAGTGGGCGGTATGCATCGTTATCCTCAACTCTGTCCCGCCCATTCTCAAACACACGCCTGGGTAGTGACGATCGCCGCACCCTTCGAAGGTATGTAAACTACTGAGGAGACCGTTGGGCTGTTGCAACAATTGTCGTTTCTAAATATCCCTCTCTCGATTTACGAAATTACGAATTTGGCGACAGCATGTGCCTGGTCCAGCGAGCTTCCGGCATCTCCCTCTCGTGACTGATTGCATGGTTTGACCAGCTGTGGGCCTACAACCTTCGTTGCAACGGGTCTGATGAGGCTCGTCTCTAACCTAGGGCCACTTTCCTGCTTTTCCTGGTGTCACTCGTTGTCGTCCCCCCTCGGCCCCCGCCTTCGCAGGTTTCGACGGCGGCGACTGCTGCGAGTGCACTTGCCAGGTACGATTTTTTTTTTCCTATGTTTTCTTCGAGATGTTGACTCTACTCTCTTGAATGGAGCTCTCCCCTTTCTGTCCTCGATACACTAATTGACCTGAGTGCCCAATTGACAACACTTGTTCGTAGTGGCACATTGCACATCGGATGCACATGCGAGGCGTAAGTATACTCATCCAAGAATTTTCCATGCAGCATGGGCATGGTTCACTCTCGCAATACCCCGTCATTGCCGCTCCGCCGCTGAGAAGTTTTTACCTCCTCCGCTGTTGACGCCCTTACCCACTCCAGACTCAAAGCGACGACGACTACTATTCGTGGGGTTGTGATGTAGACTACATGGCCTGCATCGACCCAGACGCCTCTTGCGTCGACGATGACGACGTTACCGCTGAAATGGTGGAGAACTGTCAATGGGTTAACGATATCGGGGACGGTTACTGCGACGACGGGAACAACAAAGCAGAGTGCGGTACGTGGGTCCGGGAATAGTGTATTCAACGGCAAATAGTGGTTAGCGCTCGATTTCATCCCAGAAGCACTATCCAGCGGTTCTAAAACGTTTGGAACCAAAAGACCACAAAGATTAGAGTAGCTTGGCCTAGTGACATTGTCCTTTTCAATTTGTTCTCTCGACACATGATTCGGTTCTTGGTCTCCTTTTCACCTTCCCTCATCTCACTGTTCGCATGCACCTACGGGATGGAAATGACGCTGATGTTGTATTGTAGAAATTGGTCTCTCCCTCCGACAGCATTTCTCACAATTGGTCTTCTCTCATGAGGAAGAATGGTTTCAGTGAGGTTGGAGGTCGTATGGCAAAAAAAATGTTGCTCGGTGCGAATTCGGTGCATTTTGCAACTCCTCCCGCCGTTTCTGTCTTGCATATTCTGTCGTTTTCATCACTTTAAACAACATATTCGCCTGATTGAGAGCGAAGTATCTGATTGAGAGCGAGAGCCAAAAAAATTGAAATTTCGGGTCCAGACGCCTCTTGCCATTTCTTGGCAAGTAGGGGACGGGCTATTCCAAGAAGCGGTGCAAATTGAAGGTCTCATCAGCAGCTTCGCGAGCATATGCGTGTCATCGTCATCGGATGCTGCAGCGAGGAGCTAGACAAGTTGCTAGATTTGCCCAGATTGGCTATTTCTGCTCAAACTGTTTCAGGGCGGTATCGCGTCGGGCGGTGGGCTCTGCTGTAGCTTCTGCTCCCCGCTGTAGCTCCACAACGAGAGACTCCCACAGGATGACCAGGGTAGCGGCTTGAAGCTACCGGCTAGCCCTTCAATTCAAGCTACACAGCAAGCTCCACCTCTCAGTGGTAGTCCGACTACAGCGTATCGCGCAATCTCGCTCTCAATCAGATGCTACGCTCTCAATCAGGCGAATATGTTGTTTTTAACGGTTGCCCCCCATACTGAAGCAGCCGGTAGGTATGTGTTGATCATCACCAGACATGATCGGGTTGAAAAAAACACCCACTTTCTTATGCATCATTGGCTCCTGAAACTGTGTTGGCATGCAAACCTGCTCGGCCCCATCCCAGCCGCAAGGTCAGGTGTGACCCTGGTATTTCTTCGCCTGGCTCTTTCTCCCATTGCTTGTTGTTGTTTGTCTGTTTCTATCAGGCTACGACGGCGGTGACTGCTGCGAGTGCACATGCGTGGTGAGAATATTGTGAATCGTAATCGTGGATGTGTTCTCTTACAACAGTTTGCTGCTCAATCTTCGGTAGATTTCGCTCCCGTCACCCTTCATTCCTCTAACGCCGGTCTGAATCTAAAATTCGACAGATTAGTTCATTCTCTTCACCTCCGTAGTGCATATGACCACCAGAGTGCACATGCTAAATTTAAGTATATAAAGCGCTTGAAATACCCATCGGCATTACAAGGGCACTCACAACATTTTTCTCGATGTGTGACTCCCATTTCATCTCCGAGGCCGAACATTCCCCCTCTATCTCACCCTTTTGCACAGACGTCGCTTCCTTTTATCGGTACGCATTCAAACGGAACATGTCCTAAGCGGGTTCCGTCATTTTCCTCTCTTAATCTCCCATTCCGACGTTTCTCTCTTATGTCGAGATCCGTACTGTGGATTTGAGCATGAACCTCTCTCTTTGCCGCGCGTTTCTAAAACTAGAACCCATGGGGCGACGACGACGACTGGCGCTGCTCCAGAGATGGTTCCGGGTTTGCCTGCATCGACCCGGATGCCTCCTGTGTTGACGACGACGACATCACCATCGAAATGGCGCAGAATTGCGACACTTCGGAGTTGGGGGACGGTTATTGTGATCAGGACAACAACAACGAAATATGCGGTAAATATTTGAAGTGTTTTTTATCCGAGCCGCTGGACGTTGAGCTATGGTACATGTCAACGTTTGAGAGGACATCGACCTACGCAAACCACCTGACATATTTTTTAGCATTGATATTGGCCTGCTTTGCGTACCTATCTCTCTCTTCTCTCTTCCCTCTCTCTCCTCTCACTCATTCTCTCCTCGCTGTCCTGTAGCGGCCCCTCGCGCAAGTGCGCCCTCACTTCCCTCACCTCCTTCACCTTCGAACGACTGCACAACCCATCCCGCACGCCGTCTGTATTTTGTGCATGTTGGAAATCGCGTCAGCAGCTATTGAGTTTCTGTTGTTGTCGCCGTCAACTGCGCGTTTGGCAGACCTGTAAGACTATCCGCACTCCAACGGGTCGAGGGTTTTCAACCCAAGGAAGCGGCAAAACCATGTGTAACGAGTTGTTTCGATGTTTTATGGCGTACTTCAAAGTTCGCGTTTAACATTTCCCGCGCCCCTTTTTCTTCCTTGCCGTGTCTCCTTGCCTCAGGCTACGACGGCGGCGACTGCTGCGAGTGCACGTGTGTGGTAAGCTATTCGAAAAGCACGTGGGAGTTATAAAGAGTGTATGCTTTGGACCCTGTCGCCATGGAAGATATCCCAACTTCTCTGTTCCGAACACCCGCGTCCCAATTCTTCTGAACCCTTTGCACGGGAGAGACTTTGCAATTCTGCTGTCTCACTTTCCTGGTGAAGCACATGATAGACATGGGTTCTCACGTTCATTTGTGGTAGGCCTGCAAAAAGCACGGTCAGGTATCCAATGAGCGAGACGAGGATTTGAATTTTTGATGCATTTCCTTGCCCTCTGTACTTTCTGGGGTTAGTTTTCCAACCGGATCGGTAGGTAATCCCCCTCCTTCCCCCTCCTATCCTCGTTACTGCTCTGTGAGGGCAATGCTCTCGAGGACGCGTGGTCTGTGGTCTAATATCTAACGTGTGCGAAAGATGAGTAGCCCCCCGCCCCCCCCTACTGTCCTCTCTAATGGCTTCAAACTCAAGTTCCTCCTGCTGTAGCTACGTCTTGTCCTCCTTGGCTTGGCACTTGCTTGCTTGACCCCTGACCTCCCTCCCCTCCAGCCCGCCTGCCTCATCCTTGAACAAGTACTGTTTTTTGTCTGTTGGTGCTCGCGCTTGCGCCAGAGCCCATGGGACGACGACGACGACTGGCTCTGCTCCTCTGGCGGTTCCGGATTTGCCTGCATCGACCCGGCAGCACCGTGTGTTGAAGACGACGATATCACCGCAGACATGGTGGAGAACTGCGGGTACGTCAAAGCTACAAACGACGCGATTGTAATCTATGCACGGGTCCTTCTTGGTTCTGTCGAGAGGCGTTTCCCGTGTAGTGCGGCGTGTAGACGTCTATCAAGCACCACATCCAAGGGTGCGGTGCTTCCACTAGGCTTGCTGCTCTGCCACATCGTCCCTGGCACCCCACCTTGGACGATCTGTACGAACGAGCATTTTTATTCGGGAACGATTTTCGCTACCGATGTGATGTTCGGCGTGGCATGGATATACGTGCGGTGACACTGAATTGCCGCCGATAGGTTTCGAAGTCTCCCACATGTGTGTGTGTTTTTTTTTATTATTGTTATAAATATCGTTCGCGCTAAGCGGCTGACGAATGAAAATACGTCAATGTCAGTGAGGTTGAAAACACAAAACACTTCTAGATGCCTTTATCTGGGACCCCCTGAGGGGGCGGCATGGGGGAGATTAACCTATTCTCAAAGACAGAAACGGTAGCAACAGGAGAAAATGACACACGTCTTCGAAGGCTACTACCTTGCACTTGAGTTCGGTTTTGGAGTGCTTTCACCGTCATCCTCCTTCCTTCCAACTCCATCTTCTCATGATCGTTTTCACAGCAACTTCTCGACTTTTCTTTAACCCTGCGTCGTATATTATGGGGAAGGTCATCTGGGTCGAAGCTCTTGCTCTCTCCCGCTCCATGATTCCCTCTTCGATTGCTATGTTGGTCTCTGCCTTGTCCTCCTCCCGTTCCCTCTCCTCCTGCTTCATCGCTGCCAAAATTTCCCCTCATTGCATCATGGCCGTTTTTATCTGCACTACTACTGAGATCCCAACCTATTGGCCGTGGCGGAAATCGATCAATCAGTGTGTGTGTAATTTCCTCCTCGGCCTTGTTCAGCCCCAAAACCTATGTTTTCTATCATGACATGTTGGATGTTCAGATGTTGTCCCGCCCAGTATGATTTCCCAAAATCGCCGGTTGAGGAGCGTGCCCAGCCGTTCGTACGCATTAGCTGCTTGGAATCCGGCCAAAGCGCTAGCGACGCCGACTCGTTGCCATGCTCAACTCCAGATTTTGAAATGGACTACTGTACTGCTGCCTTCTGGAATAACGCGCTTGATTCCACTTACCCAGGTACGTGAGAGGTCTGGGCGATGGATGGTGTCACGAGGAAAACAACAACGAACTGTGCGGTGAGTTTGGGTTGGCCTATGCAGAATTTGTGCTGAATTTCAAGCGGTGCCCGTGCACACGCTGGCATTGGAGAGATTTTCGAGGTCGGGGACGCAATCGATGGCATCCGACGTTGATTTTTGTGTTCTTCTCCTGAGCCATTTTGGTCCACTTTTCCGCCCGTCCCACCCTGATTCCCCAGGCTACGACGGCGGCGACTGCTGCGAGTGCACATGCGTGGTGAGCAAGCTTTCGGCATAGCCCTAAAAGTATCAGTACTTATCGTGTTCCTTGGTAGATCGCTTTGCATTTGCCTTTCCATCGACTGCCTCGATCACCTCATGTTTGGGGTCTGAAAGAGCATCTAGTCCCGTTTCCGCAACTGTTCTGGTGTTGTACGAAACGCTGGGAGGCCGGATGTATGCCGAAGCCGTTCGGGTGGAGCTTTTCCTTCGGCATGTCTTCGTTCTTCGTTATCTGTTCGCTGTCCCAATGGTCAGATACGTAAAAACACTTGCTTTGGATACACACCCGTCAGGCTCCACCTGCGGACGACGACTGGGACGACGACTGGGATGATGACTGGTACGGCGCTTGCGGCGGTGGCTTCGCCTGCATCGACCCCAGCGCGGCGTGCGTGGACGACGACGAAGTCACTGTCGGCATGGTCGAGAGCTGCGACACTGTGTCCATTGGCGACGGCTACTGCAACATGGACAACAACAACGAAGCCTGCGGTGCGTGCTCATGGCGTCTTGGTTGTCATGCCCGGTAGACTGTATTGCGAGCAGGACATGAAATGAAAGGCGTTAGGGGTAAGACCGTTTTACCACCAAAGTGGAATCAACTGGCGGAAAGAATATGCTGGAACGTCGCGAGCCATGTCAAGGAAAATGATGCAGGCTGAAGTCAACTGTGCCAAGCCGTCGTATGGTAAGGTGTGGTGTGATGTGGTGTACAGTAAACGATTCCATACCACCGTTTGTTTGCCATCCCCCGTTCCCCCCCTCGATTTTTTCTCAGCTTACGACGGCGGCGACTGCTGCGAGTGCACCTGCGAGGTATGCGAATCATTGGTTCCCCTTTGCGGATGCTAAGCAAACACTTGAGGGGCATGAGACTGGTAAGATAACACGCTGCCAAGGATGCAGGCTCTCGAAAAAGGGAGTCTCAGTCGCTGTGTACCTGGTCTTGCGATTGCTCGCTCGTGGCTGTGAAGATGCTATTCCTGCTGGACCAGGGTATGTGCACAGTAGAGAAGCATCCAATCTCAGTGGAAGAAGGACGGTCGCATCAAGTACTGCTCTGTGTCGGACACCCAAGAGGTGAGCCACATCGCGTAGGTGACCAAAGATATCACACTTTCACACGCCCCGGACCAGATTTCTAGGCTCGATTGGTCCATGACAAAGACGATGAATATATCGAACGATGCGTTTTTGGAAAGATCTCGACAAGGCGGTTAGAACGTCACCGTTTACGGCACCGCTGTTCTTCCTCCGAGGAGTAATCCAAGCTTTGTATTGGTGCAGGGAGAGCGAAGTATGGCATCGAATACCCCTATGTTGTGCCTCACAGCTGTCTCCGGGTGTCTCCCGGAGCACGCAGAGCAATCGAGCCGCTCCAATACCAGGCATTGCAACGAACGGAGCACGGAGTGACCCTCCCTGCTGCTTTGTTGCTCGATCTCTTGCAATGTTTTCGCGCGTGTCTCCTGGAAATGCGGTGCTGTGTATGTGCTTGTCAGGACACGCCGAACAACAGGTGCGGCAGGTGGAGCAGTTTCGCCTGCATCGACCCTGCAGCACCCTGCGTCGATGACGATTCCTTCACCGTGGATATGATCGACAACTGCGAGTACCCAGGGGGAATCGGAAATGGCTGGTGTGATGTAGACAACAACAACGAGCTATGCGGTAAGGCTTGTGGATCTAGTATCGGAAGGTGGAGTCTTTCCGCCTCTTGAACACGTTTGCCACCCTGCTGTAGCAGGAGAAGTTATCGCAGAATGGGCGGCAACAATCTGCCTTGTTCACAACCAATGAAAACAACGCCGTATTCCCTCCCTGACTTTATCCAGCTGGCTTTATCCTTTCTTGTTTGATGCGTCCGGGTGGTTTTCCAGTGAACTCGTGTTGTGTATCGCCTTCGACACTTCACAGAAATCGCAAGCCTTGCTGTCCCAAGCGAATGCCGACGCGTCGGGCGTAGCCGCTTCTCCATGTCGGAGGAAATCACACGATGGCGTTCGTGAATGAACCAGACTAATGTCTATTTCCCGCGCTGGTAGTCGTAATTACGTAGAGCTACTGGTCAAGGAGCACCCCTCTCTCTGTCGCCTGCACTTTTACATGTGCGTGTTGGCTGCAGGTGCGCCGCGCAGGAAATGAAGGAACGTCTAGTTTTCGTTTGTAGTGCATGCTGTCAATTCCATTTGCTCCTCTCCCTCGTTCTTGTATTGCACTGGCATGCGAGACTGGCCGCATTCGGATTATTTTCCCGGGATCGGGCCCCAACCAGCCAACAACGTTCTCGCCCCACGAATTCCTCCCTTGTGTTTCTCCCTCGATGTTTCACTGTCCTTCTGCTATTTACTCAGCGTACGATGGCGGCGACTGCTGCGAATGCACTTGCGAGGTACGCGGGTCCATCACTGTTGTTTCACCTGCCACGCAAACCCGCTTGAAGTGCGTGGATCCGAGAGATACAATATGAGTTTTTGTCCCCATAACTAGTAGATTCCGCTACTTCGTTCCATGTAATGTGGAGACACGGGTACGAGCGTCAGGTGTGAAACACTTGGAACCTGCACACGTTCTAGAAATAGGCAATTCCTTTCGATGGATATTTCATTCGTCCCCTCCCTTTCCGTCCAAACTGGACATTTCCTGGCACGTTTTTCCCGCGTTCGGAAAAGGTATGCCTCTTCCTGTTGTCCCTGCGATTTCACGTGTGCGAGGTGCGTTTCACGGCGTGTCCGCATCCGAGGATTGGTAACGTGGTTTTTGCTGGGGTGGTTCGTTCTCTTCCCCCACTCCTCTTCTGTCGAGGCCGACTACCGCAAGTTGTTCATTTCCCTGTTTTGCGCGGGCATCTACCAGAGCCTCGAAGACGACGATTGGGCCTGCCGGAACAACTTCGCATGTGTCGACCCGAACGCTCCCTGTGTAGACGATGACAGCGTCACCATCGACATGCTCGAAAACTGCCCCTGGGCGGTAGGCATAGGCGACGGGTACTGCAGTGAAGATCTCAACACGCCAGAATGCGGTAGGTCTTGGTCCGAGAAACTCGTTTTCCCGCACCGTAGCGAACAGAGAGGAAATTCTTGGCGGTTGAAATAGGGATGGGTGCCTTCAAGATGGCGGGGGTGCGAATGCTGGACGCCCCACGACCTTACGGTCAGCTGTTGCGCATGGATACCAGCGCTCAAAATAGCTCTGAGGCCTATGAAGGTCACAAGCTCCGTCGATTGCTCATGTCGGGAGCTATTGAGGCACGATCACGGTGCGTGTGTGTTCGTTCCATGTACTCCCGCCGCGCCTGTCCACACACCTCTTGGTCTAGTCTAAATGTACTAATTTGACGTATCAGCGGGGGCCACACAAGAGGCAGGTCATGCAAGAGCTACACAAACGCTTGTGTACACCTGATTCTTGCTTGCGTCGCCCTGGGCAGGCTTCCTTGCCGTTGCCGCCCTTTGATGTACTCGTGTCGCCGCCGAAAATAAGGAATGAGGTATAATTTTGTACGTCAGAAACGCTAGTGCCTCTTCTCAACAAGATTCTACACCGGTGCGCCACCCTTATCCATTATTAACCCCCTTTTTGTCTATCGAATACACTCGTGGCATGCACTGCATACCAACACGAGTAAACCCCCGATGCCTCTCACTGTTGCCTGTCCTTCCACGCTTTTTTTTCTCCAATTTCCGCAGCCTACGACGGCGGTGACTGCTGTGCGTGCACCTGTCAGGTAGGGACGCGGCTCGCGCGAGCGCTAGCTTGCCCGCCTCCCGTCGTTCTTGGATGCTAGGAGCTTTCGCTGTGTTTCGTTGATGAAGTGGTTTTCTTTTTCTGCCCAAGTACTCCCACGGTAATTTGCAAGAATGTTAATTCATCGATGCAGCGACAGACAGTGCCTGAAGTCAACTATTTCGAAGCGCTTGTGCCGGCGTTTGGGGGCCCTTGACATCGAACCCTGAAACGCTGGCAAGTCACGATGAAAATGAAGCAATAACTAGCCATATTTCAATCCCCACATCAATATTTGGCAGGCTGCAGAATCGAGGGTGGCCGGGCGCTTTGGACAGTAGACACAGGGAAGTCCATGGCGGGCTCTTTCTTGCCAAGTTCTAGAAGAAGTTCGAATTTCCACCTGCGACAGTTTGAGCGTTCCTAACCGACCAGTAAGTGCTTTGGCCTATTCCACCGCCACAAGTGTCTCGATCAAACCACTATTATGTTTCCCTTTCGCCTGCCATCGAGACTTGGTCGTGATACCTCACCTTCCCGTGGAGCCTGGGTAAATGCTGACCCTGATTGTGAAGGAGCATTGTGCTACATATTTCCCGAATCGAGCTTGTTGGGAGAGAAGGAATATGTTTCGGGTTTGGTTCGCGCCCCCCCCCACCCCCCCCGTCATTCGTCGCTACCCCTTACCACCGTCTAAACAATGGTACCCCTCCATCTGCCGCTCTTCCTCCTGCCAGAACGACGTCGACGATGACTGGGCTTGCACAACGTTCGCTTGCATCGATCCAGAGGCAGCCTGCGTCAACGATGATGACATTACCGTCGACATGTTCGTCAACTGCGAATACCCTGTCAACGTAGGAGACGGCTGGTGTGACCAAGGAAACAACAACGAGGCGTGCGGTAGGTTGCTGTCCTGCCACGTGTAGCCCGATGCCTTGCTTTTTGTCGCAGAGGCCTGAGGATGGTCGTTTCACCCCAACACGCACCGGAAACACACACCCGCATCGTGCACAAGAATATGGTATGCTTTCCCCTGAACAGAGAATCTCCACAAACCCTTCCCCAATGCTGGCGAAATCTTCTTTGCCGGCTGTTCCCCCATTTTGGCTCCCAACTCGACTACACCCAGATTCCAGGCCAGGGAGGGGTCGTAACAAGTACTTACAAGCCCTGAGGTGCAGGAGTCCCGCAGATTGGTTTGTGTAGCGTGTCTTCGGCCGTTGACACCAGCGCCAGCACCACAACTGCATGCACACGGTAGGACACAATATGTCGCCCAGGCCCGATTTTATCCACTCGATTACACCACCACGAAGAGAACATACGAATGAAACGGTTCGGGTTTGTGGCAAGCGTTCGACGAGGAGGTTCTAACGTCGCCATCTTGTGGTTCCCACGCCACCATTTTAGCCCCACACCATTCTCTGCGCAGTGGCGGAATCGAGCTTCGAAACTATGTGTGAACCTCGCTCTCACGATGGTCTTCAAGGACCAATTGCTGTATACCTGCCTTCGTTGAAACTCATCCGAGATCTCGTACAACATTCATCAGGTGTGGCACGAACGATCGACAACTTGTTGTGCCCCCCCCCTCTAATTGTTGTTTGTGTCGTCGTCGTCGTCGTCGTCGTCCTCCTACCCGCCTTGATTTCCCAGGCTACGACGGAGGGGACTGCTGCGAGTGCACGTGCGAGGTATAGTACGCGAAGCATACAGTCCTCACAAGTCACTTGCAGCACATGGACCCTTACAGGGCTGGCTATGTGTAATGTTCCGTGTATTTGTCTTCCACTCTCGGAAAGTCTACCCGTACCGCCGATTGTTTCCAATTGGGACATGTTCGCGGTCTTCGCCGTGAACGGCGATTGATTACCGTCTTAACATCTAAAGGTGTGCTGCGAATGCGTATGATACACGAGAGGAACCCATTCGGATTCCAAACATGTTGCGCCTGGCATATTTGGAATCCGAACGGGTTGTCTCGTGTAGGTTTATCTCTTCTGTTTGCCCGCGGCTGCTTCTCGCATGTTTTTGAGTCAAAAGTATCTGCCGTCTTTTACACCTGTAGAGTAGAGGGCACGAAGGGTTTGATTGGTGTTGGGTCGAATCTGAACCTATACACCGCCCTCAAATCATATCAATTGTTCGACGTGTTGGCCAGTATTTCTTTTACCTTCCGTCCGCAAGACTTCGCGCTGAGTTGTCCCTCATTCTAGGTGTTCGTTTTCTGCGTCCCTTTCCTCACCCCCTTGTCAGAATGAACGTGACGAAGACTACCGCTGCATGGAGTTTTCTTGCATCGACCCCAGCGCGCCCTGCGTAAACGATGACGATGTTACCATCGACATGGTCGAGAACTGTGGCTACGTCTCCGGGATAGGCAACGGCTGGTGCGATAGAAACAACAACAAGGAGGAATGCGGTGAGTCACGGGACCCCTTGAGGCCATGCCTCATGGAAAGGTACAACATACCGTTCCCGTGCAGCTAGGCAATAAAACGTGCACCTCCCTGGCTGCTAGAGTCTACTAGGGGGGTGGTTGGTAGCTTAGACTGCACAGAGCAGACCTAGGCCCGTTTGGTGTGTCCCATCTCCTTGAACCTACATGGGTTGATAATGAAAAGAATCGCTGGTTCAACGAACGATCGGTGACGGGGAAAGGTGTCAGAGCCGTGCTTTACTTCGACAAAATGTTTCTAGAGATGTCTCCCCTTCATCTCCGCCTACTTTGATTTCGGACCCTAGATGCTTCTACCAATATTTTCGGGGTTGGGGTTGACCAACGCTCTCCTTCTCTTCTCTAGCACGCAGTTGCTTCGTCGTTCAGCAGCATACGGTGGCGACAATGTCTTTCAAACCTTTTCTCCCTTCATTGCGATGGACGCTATTGTTTCGCGTGGTTGTGAAGACCGCAGCGTGAGGCACGCTCTTCCTCTTCTGCGCTTGCGTCGATTGCTTCCAAATAGAAAGGTACTGTATTCTGACAATATATCAACACCACGTCGGGCCCGGCGGTGCCGACTACACGACACAAACACAAGCGCAATGCTTGTCTCGTTTCGCACTTTGTATCTTGTTGCGATTCTGGTGACCTTCGTTTCGTTTGCCCCTCTTCCTTCTCGGCCATAACCCTTTGCTCGGTGTCCCTGACTTGAACCCTAATCAGCTGTGATGTCTCAGCACCTCATATTTGCCTCTCCCTCCGTGTCCTCCCCCCTGGTGTTTGCCATCGGGGTTGGGTTTTCGTCGCTTGGCAACGACGTTGTATGACAAACCGCCCCCCCCGGTGTTCGCCATCGGGGTTGGGTTTTCGTCGCTTGGCAACGACGTTGTATGACAAACCGCCCCCCCCGGTGTTCGCCATCGGGGTTGGGTTTTCGTCGCTTGGCAACGACGTTGTAAAACAAGCCGCCCCCCTCGGTTTCTGACATCGGGATTGGGTTTTCGTCGCTTGGCAACGACGTTGTAAAGCAAGCCAATTCACCTCGTGAACTCGGCAACCAGGTTGCCGTTTTTTTTTTATCTCTGTTTTTTTTTTTATGGTAACCATGAATGGTGGTCGAGTAGATCATGTTGTGCGGAGTTTAGAACCCTCAATCCGCGCGAGGGGGATGATCGCACCACGTTGTGTTAAAATGGTCAAGCACCCTCGAGGCAGTTACACAGTGCTTACAACTGTCTCTGGAAGTGAAAGCACCAGAAAATAAATTAATTCATACGCAGCTGTCATCCGTACGCAAGGAAGTAAGCACAAGATGCCGAAAACCCTTAGCAGGATGCAGCGCACCCTTCATGCGACTCGCCGAATATCTCACGGCGCTTCGCGCTTGGTGATGTGAGAGCCTGGTCCGGTGAGAACCCGGCGTGCTCCGTCCCGGCTTTGTAGGGATGCGAGGTCAATGGTCTAACGACTACGGCATGCACGATTATGAGTACCCCCCCCCCCCCCCCCCCCTCCGTGACTTATCTCCTAGGCTACGACGGCGGCGACTGCTGCTCTTGCACATGCCAGAGCGCGTATGACGACGACTACTCTTGTAGCAGCGAGTACGGCTACTTCGACTGCCAAGACCCCAGCGCCTCCTGCTTCGGCGAAGGAACTACGGGGAGCGACGACTTCAGCTTCCACGACGACTATCAGCCAATGTCGTACGAGTTCGTCAGCTGGGAAGAGACAGATTCCCTGCCTACGGTCGTTGACGCCGTCGAGGTGGGCACCAAGACCGAAGTTGGCGTATCGGCCACGGCCCACGATTTGCGGCCCGGCAGCAGCGGCGGCGACGTCGGGTGCGGAGAGGTCGGTGGTCTTGGCTGCACGGCGACCAACACCCGTGATGGCATCTTCTCCGACATCGAGTCGAGGTGGTCGTGCGCCACGAGCCTCGTGCCTGACGAAGGGCCCTGCCAAATCGAGTTCACCTTTGCCGAACCCCAGAACATCGTGGACATCCAGGTCGCCTTCTGGAACGACAACGAGCGCGTCAGTACCCTGGAGGTAAGCACGTTGCCAATCAATCTGAAGAGCACCACGTTCTGACTCCCACCTACGACCAACCAAACCTTCATTTTCCGTTACTGTCATCCCCCAACAGCACGTTCGCCACACCGAGCCTCTCACACCATGTAAAGCTTAGGTGCTTTGGGCTCTCCTAGCGATTGAGCGCCGAACGTACACACGCCGTGGGCTGTAAATCTACGTCCAAGCGGGCTACCTGTCCATACGCCTGACGTCCATCCCAAGCGGCTTCCTTCGGCGATATCCACGGGCGACGCTCGAAGCAGACTTTGTTTTTCGCACGCAACACCTTACCCACACAGGTCCACGTCAACGGCGAGCTGACCCACACGCACGAGTCCTACGATGACACATTCAACACGCTCGGTGTGACAGCTACGGAGGCCAGCACTGTGATGCTCGAGTCCGTCGCTCTCCTTTCGGACGAATGGATCAGTCTCCTCGAGGTGAGGGTTGTTTCCACGATTGCTTGTTGCGAGGCCAGGGGATTTTCCCAAATGCTGACATCGAGGGGAGCTCTTTGGTCTGCTGATGCTGCCCTTGTCCTCAGGCGTTGACAGAGCAAGGTTACTTTGTATGGATACCATCTTGGACACGAACCCTATCGAGCAGTAGAAACCCTCGCCGAGCAACCGACGGATGTCATTTGGAAGGCAAAGCGTGGACTCCCAAGACGTCTCTTCTTGATTGTCTAGTTCCATCTCTTTCGTGGACCCTTCGGCGCGAGCGAATCTATCGCACAATGCTCACAGGTAGTATACCACGGCATATTTCTTGGAATGTTCCTCCGGAACAACTGCTCGTTCCTTCCTCCCTGTCGTCGGTGCCTGTCTCCGGGTGTGGTACTGTATTTTGCTGTCCACCTACACACCAGGTGCAAATCTTCGTGACACCTTGAGTGGTGGATACACCGGGCCAAGAGCCAAATGAAGGCATTAAGAACCGACTTTCGCTTTCTTCGCGCGGAGCAGCTTTCTCGTCTGGATGCCAACGAAAGTTCCTGGATCGCTGTCATGAAAAAGAGGCATTGGGAACGAACGTGGACGACGTTGACGAAGTGGGGTCATTCCTGTTCGTACACAAGCGCGTTTCACCCCAAAAAATGCCGCTAGAATTGCAGAGGCGCCTCTCTGTTTTTGCAAGGGTGCCGCATCTTCTAGAATCGCCGTCGCTAATTGTCTCCGTGTTTGCCCTCATGCATTTCTTCCAACCCGTTTTAGTAGAGGATGTGCCAGTGATAAAATGTACTTGGTAGTAGAGTATGCCGGCACCGCTTGACATTTCCGGTCAGGGGTCTTCGCTTCATATTCATTATAGATAGACGCCAGATGTCAAAACCATCGTATTCGCTCTTACTTTTTTGGGGGGGTTTGTTTCCAGGCCCGCCGATGAGGGCAATTTTTCGTTTGTTTGCAGGAGCTGTTTAGAGTTGAGGCAGGGCGGGCCAAACCCGGGACCGCCGCAGGCAAAGACTGGGATATTCGGCGTTATTGTTGCAGGAAAACACTCATATAGTGTGAAGTTGTCCTGTCATTTTCACTTGTTTTTCATCGTGAAGCAGGCGGGGAGAGGGTAACGAGAGGATATTACCACTCTTAAACTCGCCTGCGGCAAGAAAAAGGGCAATAAAGGCTGTTCTCGCCTACAGCGAGACATATTTGCCACACAATAATGCATTGGCTTTCGGCGAAAAATGCGCGCTCGGATTTTTCTCGTGCGAAACGCCGGATTCGGGCGGTCCGTAGTGCATTTCTTGACATTCCTTCCAAGGCAGCACCAACCGCCCCCTTCATCAACGAGATCCCTGAGTGCTGGATACAGATGGCGCCCGCACTTAAGAACCGCTTATTTTGACCGAGGCTCTATGCACAATGGCTGCCTCAAATTGAGTACCTGTTCCTATTTTCAATGTTCTTACTTTCGAGCAGGCATATCCATATGATAACGGGGTTGAAGGTGGCAAGGAAGTACGAACAGGGGGTGGCAGTGTCGGGGGTCTGGGGGAACATGGGCTTGAATGGGGGTTGCCCCAGAAAGAGCAAGACGGCGGATGTTTCTCTCTTGGTGTGACCGGTGGCAATATCGATCAGCAATGCCGCACAGACTTTTGTGCGCCGAAGTATGCGTGCGACAGCTTTAACCTCACCACTTCGGTGGAAAGCGGATTTCTGTTCAATACGGTGTCAAGGGTACCCGGGGCCGAGTTTTGTTTGATTTCGGGTGGATGAGGTTGGGGTTTTGTTCGTTTTTCTCCATCTAAGGTTCGTGCCTAGAGTTCAGCTGTAGTGTTTCGACCAAAGTTTGTTGACAGAGGCAAACATTCCTAGCTATTGGGCATCGAGTTAATTTGTCTTGGCATGGCCTTTACGATCGACTTTTTATGTATGTCTGCATTTATCTGCAATTGTCGGAGGGCAAACAAAATAATAATAACGGGGTTCTTGTTCTTACTTCTACGCGGAGGGCCCCAGTAAGAGGACGCCCGCTTTTTTTTTCTGGCTGGATTAACCAGACACTTGAGTGCAGCGTGTGTAAAACAGAGTGTTGTAGAACGTCGCTCAACAGAGACCTCTGGACCCGACGTACCGTAGCTTCCGCGATCACCATAGGGTAGAAATATGGACGCGGCATCGCCTGACATGTTGACGCATCTGAGCAAAAATTGAACCATTTTGAGTCACGTTCGGCTTGACTGCTGTCGTCCCCGCTCTACAAACGCCCGTCGTAGCTACACTGCGACCTTCACCCGCTCTTCGATGCCCGGACCTCCTCCCTGCTCTACGACGTTCCCCTCAAGCAAAGGCCACGGCCCAACCACCGCATCGGCATCTCCACAGTACTTGTCCAACGGCAATTTCATGTGGCGCGTACTTTGGTCTAGCCCGAAATAAATGCACACGGTACAGCCAGTGCCGGCATTCATCAGGCCGAATACGGGTGCTTTGAAAAAAAAAATAACCTTCATCAACGAATTGAGCGGAACCAAAATATTCGTGAGAAAGATCTCATCAGCAGCGACCGAATAAGCCCATTCACAGCGCGGGGTTTGGGCTTTCAAGAAAGATATGCCCCTATAACCATCATAGCAGAAGGCACTTCATCCAACAAGAATCGCCATATCTCAACAACTACGGCAAACCCCGCGAAAGAAATTGCAGGTTCGAAAAGCTCTCTTTCAGAACTATTTTACTGCGGCGGAATCACCCCCGAGCTCGTTGATGAAGAACTTTAAAAAAATCAGAACCAACATTTCAAATATTTTCGCCCACATCAGCCCCAACGGCTGCCACACATAAAGAGTACATTAACCCTATGTGATGAACACGTTTATTCTGTGTTGTGTGGTGTTGAAGCGTACGTACGTGATATGTCAACATGGGTGTATCAATAGGTCATTATATGTCTGCGTGTTGTTGTCAGTGGCGTTGTTGCAGTGCGTGGCGTATTGTTTTGTTCCCCCTTTTCGTTGGCGGATTCTCTGTGTGCTACAGCAGTATGTATGGCCGTGCGTATAACGTTCAGTAGTGGCAAAAATGAAGAGTGCAACGTCCGTGGGTATCGTGGGGTCATTGTACAGAAGGGCCTCCAGTCGATTGAAGTAATCAAACATACATGGGAAACAAGCCGGTGCGCATGGCCCACATTTATTTCCTGTCCCGGCCCCAGGAAGGCGCCATATAGACTGTAGTCTACACAAATCATTTTTTTGTTTTCAGGAGTATCTTCGTTCTTCTCTACTCAAGACCCGCCGATACAGAGCAAAAAAAGGAGATGAGGGATGTTTTGAGTTTGTGGTTGCCGAAATATATGACAAAGAGTTATCGTCCCCTCCCCAGAAATGCCTTGAAAATCCTGTACGAAAACCATGAAATTCCAGGAATGCCTCAAATCGATTTGGTCCCTGAACAACTATTGTGGCAAATAGGATATAGATTACGACAAAAAACAAAAAAGTGAAAAAAGTGAAAAACTCGTGAAGTTATGGCCGGTCAACCAAAATCGGCCTGACGAATGCCGGCACTGTAATTTACCAGGCATGCGTGTCGAACTTCTGACCGCGCTCCGCACAACTACATGTACTTAGGTACTCCAGGGCCCAATGCAAGAAAACCTAGTGACTTCGAATCCCCATGGGGGTGAAATTGTTTTCACGAGTTGCGGGTAAAGCGAATATAGCTGAAAAAGCTCTCGTGAGCACCAATCTTCGACTTTAGCATCGTTGACGAGGGAAAGGGGCCGCTCGACCCGTCTCCCGTCTCGCGGGGCGCACTTTTTTTTTTTCCGACCCAAACCCCCAAAAAGTTTTTTTGGGTCCCTCCGGGGGGGGGAAGGAGACCTTCAAACCCCACCCCCAAACGCCACGAAATTTCCGATATAAACAGTTCCATACCTAATCCTACATATAACGGGGGAACATTTCATGCAAGGGGAGAGTTTATCCACGTAGCCCCTGCCCCAGCGTACCGCAGCCCGCAGGCAGCCGCGGTACCAACCGTAGCAGAGGAGGGAGAGAGAGAGAGAGAGCGAGACCTTGGGGAGTGGCCACGATTAGCACAGTCTCCGTGGGAGGACAATGGAGGGCGAAGGCGCTCGACACGAATGCGCTCGAAAAAACGGCGGTTTAGCCTTGTTGAGGGAGATGGGGGGCTTCGGGGAGTGAACAATAAGTATAATGTAAGGCAAATTGCAATTTATTTTGGATGGCATTGGGTGTTGCACGTGGCGAAGGTGATGCCACCGCCGTAGGCTCATCGACAGCCCCTCTTCGGTGTTTCGCCGGCTTGAGTAAGCTTGGAATGGCTGCTGTACTTCAAGATTTGAAATCAGATTAGAAGTAAGTGTCCCCAGCCCGCCACACCTTATTGCATGGAGTAACACTCTGAGCCGAAATACATCGGACATTTGGGGGTTACCGGAATGTAGGGGACATAAATTTGGAGTGTGATGTGTCAGACATACATGATTATTGACCGAAATACGTTCACAGCAATACTCCTGCAGCACACGCATGATGAATTAATGTGATATGCAACCTTGAATAGAAGGGGATACGTCGTTATCACCCCCCCCGGAGGATAACGGGGGATGCTCAGGATTTATCCCTGAGAAAAACAAATAAGGAAAAAAATATACTTCGAAGTATATCGAAATGTATTTTTTATCTCAAATGGAAAGAAGGTAGCTTTTTGCCGCGACCCGAACACGCGCCCCCCACATGTCCCTTATGTTTTGGCTCAGAGTGGTAGCAATCTACACCTTGGTGCCACGGTCCTGCGTGCACGTCGTGCCGTAAACACCACTACACGCAAGCACACGCAATGGGGAGGGAGAAAGCCAAGAAAGCCTGAAAAAACATTTTCCATGAAAAAAAGAAAGAACCACACCCCTCCCGAGGGTGGGGGGGAGGGGTTAGGTGCCGGATTTTTTTACCAATAACCAGTAACGGGTATACCCGGGTACTTTATCACCACTTTTAGGGTACACTTGAAATCAACACGCTGACACCCCCGGGCTGTCGGCTGATTGGCCGAACAACCATCGTACTCATTTCGGAAAAAACCTCCATCGGGTACAACTTCCGCTGGCATTAGGACCCTCTGGTGTGACCGATATTGGTTACTGGTATACGCGGAAGAGGTCGATTTTGTACCCAGAAATGGTCATGCAATCCCGGCGCCCAACGCTCTGGCATAAAACCCGCAGAAAAAACGTGCACCGCACAAATACGGTGTACCGCACACACATGCCCACAACCAAACCACCAACAACGCTCGCTGGTTGATGAGTGACGCCTCCATAGGATACCATGCCCCTCTCGACAGAGGGTCGGACTCGCTTGACGCGCGAGTTCGTTCGGTGTGGTGCTGATCAATAAAAGCACACACAAAGAGAGAGGCACAGAAAAAAAGAAAACGGGCACGACCTGCCTCGTGCATCATTCTTCCGAGGCACAGGACACAGACAGCGGTTTATTGGTTTCGCCGCGATCTACGGCGGATGCTGTCGGAGATTGGTATCGTGTTGATTACCAAGTATACCCTGAAATGGTGATAACCCACCCGGGTATACCCGTTTCTGGTTACTCATCATCTTTTTTGGGCGCCCTTGCTCGCGGAAAATATAGAATAGAATTCTGCACGCACCGCAGGAGGAAGAAGGTGGGGGGGTGTACTCATACATAGTCGTGCATGCCGTAGTCGTTAGACCATTGACCTCGCATCCCTACAAAGCCGGGACGGAGCACGCCGGGTTCTCACCGGACCAGGCTCTCACATCACCAAGCGCGAAGCGCCGTGAGATATTCGGCGAGTCGCATGAAGGGTGCGCTGCATCCTGCTAAGGGTGTTCGGCATCTTGTGCTTACTTCCTTGCGTACGGATGACAGCTGCGTATGAATTAATTTATTTTCTGGTGCTTTCACTTCCAGAGACAGTTGTAAGCACTGTGTAACTGCCTCGAGGGTGCTTGACCATTTTAACACAACGTGGTGCGATCATCCCCCTTGCGCGGAGTGAGGGTTCTCCACCCCGCACAACATGATCTACTCGACAACCATTCATGGTTACCGCCAAAAAAAAACAGAGGCAAAAAAAAAAACGGTAACCTGGTTGCCGAGTTCACGAAGTGAATTGGCTTGTTTTACAACGTCGTTGCCAAGCGACGAAAACCCAATCCCGATGGCAAACACCGGGGGGGGCGACTTGTTTTACAACGTCGTTGCCAAGCGACGAAAACCCAA